GGGCATCCTTGTCTTGTTCCTGATTTTAGTGTGAAAGTTTTCAGGTTTTGACCATTTAGTATGATGTTGGCTGTTGGTTTTTCATAGATAGCCTTAATCAGGTCAGGATAAAGACCTTCTATTCCAATTTTCTGTCGGGTTTTTATCATGAATGGGTGCTGGATTTTGTCAAATACTTTTTCTGCATGTATTGAGATGATCATATGGTTTTTGTCCTTGAGTCTGTCAATATGGTGTATTATATTTATTGATTTATGATTGTTGAACCATCCTTGCATCTCTGGGATAAATTCAGCTTGGTCAGGGTGTATGATCTTCTTGATGACCCTCTGTATTCTGTTTGCCAATATCTTGTTGAGGATTTTTGCAACTGTGTTCATTAGGTAGATTAGCCTGTAGTTCTCTTTTTGGGTTGGGTCTTTCCCTGGTTTTGGAATCAAAGTAACACTTGCTTCCAGGAATAAATTTGGAAGTATTGCTTCCCTTTCAATTTCCTTGATGAGTTTAAAGAGTAATGGTGATAGTTCTTCTTTAAATGTCTTGTGAAATTCAGCAGTGAAGCCATCCGGACCTGGGCTTTTCTTTGTTGGTAAATATTTTATTACATTTTCAATTTCACTCATTGTAATTGACGCCCACTAGTCTTGAGCACCACAGGTGGTGTCTAAATCTCACTTCCCAAGACACTGTTTTGACCCATGGTTTGCCTTATAGGAAAGAACAAGGCAATATTTTCATGAGAGTTTCTGCCTCAAGACCACTGACGTAAATGCAGTTTTACAAAAATTCATTAAATTTATTGGTACATTTTAGGTGTACAATATGATGACATTTATCATTGGGAATTTGTACCTGTATGTGATGTAACTTGGCTCTTATTTTTCCCCCATTCCCCTGCACTCCCTTCACCCCCTTCACCCTTCCCTATTTACAAAGACTTTGTTTCCACGTTTTCCTTTTCTCATATTAATTCCATTCCCTTTTTTCCTTTCCCCTACCCCTACCCTTCCCACTTCCCCTTCCCCTTTGCCCCTTTTCTTCCTATTTCACATTATCTATTATACATTTTGATCCATAAATTCAGTTTTCAGATTGGCCTGCGTCTTAGACTCTTACAGGGATGTTAGGGGAAGTTCAGAAAAGACATATTTTGTGATTTTAGTGCTCTAGTAATATTTAATTGTAAGTTAATTCTAAATTTTATAAGGACTAAATAAAAAATTGAGAGCATGTGGGATGAACTTGTTGCTAGTTGAGTTGTTACCAGTTGAGTCGTTACCTCTTTATAGGGGATGGATTCCCCAGACTTGTCTGTACTGTCTGACTTGATGCTATTCACAGCACACAGAGAAACAGGGCTAGTATTTCTTTCAGTAGAATGTGTCACTGAATCCATCTGTTCATCAGCCTTTTTAAATATCCTTAAATGAAGAATAGAAAGTTTTTCATTGGAATGATGCCTTAAAAATTAAAAGAATTTTGTTAAGCAGTCCTTTAAAACTATGATTGCTTTTGCTTTTGAAAGTGGCATATTTTTACACAGTTCTTGATGAACAGTTTTCAGACTTGATAGAGAGCTACTAATTCTAAGTCAAACTAAAATGTTAGCTACTGATAATAGCTTTTTGTATTTTCTTTTCCAAAGACATAATTACTGGAGAAAACAATGCCTTAATTTAAAGTAATTATACCACAGGAGGTGCAGAATTTAGTAAAAGTATCTTTTTGAGACAGATGCTACACTTCTTGATCCGTTTTTCCTACCTTTCATTGGAGATTACCAATGTATAACATGAAACTGACCTGCCATGCTGCCAATCCCAACTGTGAGCACTAAGCAAAACTGAGGGCCTGAGTCTTAAAGAATAAAAAGACATGAAATTGCTCTTAAAGATACTATTGAAATTATAGGTTAAGATAAAGTTCTAAACCAAGTTGCTCTAGGGCTAGTTTTTCTTTTCTCATAACTCAGAGAAATGAGACCAATTTCAGTAAAATGGCTGAGCTGCATCTTTTCTGTTTATTTGAATGTGGTATAGGAGATTTGTGACTTCCTCATCCTGAGAAGGGAGAGGACAAGAAAGAGCCCAGGAGCCCAGGTAGGATGACAGCAGGTTGGGGGTAGAGATGGAAAGGTGTGGGGTGGATTCAAGAGTGTAGGGAGAATGAACACGTGGAAGGCATTCCAGATACTGACTTTGACAAGCTTAGCTACTGTTAATCAGTTACACAATGGACAATGAACTTTAATTGGTCCTGTACTCTCATTAACATCTTTAATCAGTCATTCCTTCATGCTATCACTTTCTTTTCTACAAATTTCTCTACCATGAAAGAAATCTTTTGTTTGCTTCTAGGAATGATTTACTTTGTGGAAAGTTTAAAATAAAGCTTTGACCTCTTCTCATAAGAATATTTTTAAACATAATACTTTAATAAGGCAAAGACAATTCATTTTCCTGAGAAATCTGCTAGCCAAAATAATAATGATAACAATAAGTTTTGGTATATATATATATATATATATATATATGTATATCAACATGTTTTTATTTCATTTTCACATGGACTCTTGCTAAATTAGGAATATGTCTATATAATTACGAACTGTCTGGGTAGTTACAATATTAATACCTATGGTTTGAACTTTTCTAAAAAGATTGAATGAGCAATGCTGATGCTAATGATAATAATGATGAGATAATAATGTTTAGTGTGCCAAAAATAATTCTTTTTTTTTTTTTTTTTTTTTTTTGTACCGGGGATCGAACTTGGGTCCTTGCGCTTGCGCAGCAGGCGGCGAAACCACTGAGCTAAATCCCCAGGCCCCAAAAATAATTCTTATCTCATTTACTAGTCAATAATTAGTTAATAGTTTATTTTCCCCATGTTAGAGATTACAAAATTGAAGCACAGAGAATTTAAGTGGATGGTGGTTCATAACTTTCTATGTTTCCTAAATTGTAAATAGTAATAAAGATATCAAAGATAGGAAGTTTGAAAAGTAAAATATACAGAAGAAGTTTAAAATTATTTATCTGTGGAGATCCTTTGGTAAGAAGGGTGCCTTCCAGGTTAAAAGAAGAAAGTAGTGCAGAATGAAGAAAATGGCTAGGGCCTAACCCCTATCACTTATATTAACTTGCCCTAATGAAGAAGTTCTGCACAATCTAGGAGGGTGGATCGCACGGTATGCAGAAATGTGGATCCTAAAGAATGGGGATTTGCTATGTGCTCCCCACATCATTATGCCTCCTTTTGATTGGCCAAAGTGACCTTCTAGTTCACCTATGAGGATGTGATGCCTACACAGTATGGATTTGCGTATCTCTCCTCATTCAGCAGATATTTGCTGAGTTCCTATTGTCTGCTTGGCACTTTATTAAGTGCTTTCTACACATTAATTTTCAACCTTCTGTCTAGCTCTCAAGAACTTCCATGAACTGACCCTTATTATCTCTTTTCTATTAGTCTACCAACGTTTATCTTTATGCACGGAAGATTGATCTTTCTGTTTTAGTTGCACATCAAGTTCCTTTTTGCCTCTATGCTGCTGTCTCACCTACTTGGATTCCACCTCTGTCTCTCCCTTCTCTTTCCCATTTTCTAGTGTTCAAGGATTCTTTCATGAAACCTTTGTTGGGTAATGCAGCTCTCTCTCCCTGATCAGTTTTGCTTATTTCTGCAACTTGTAATCTCTTTATGCCTTTGTAGCTAAGTCTTAAGTTTTTAAGCAGGGATTGTGTGTTACATTTCTTTGTATTCTTATAATAGATGACAGTATGTAGAGTTAGTCTTGGATCTTCAGCATACAAGCTTTGAAGGCTGTTTGTTTTATGCCTGGCTAACAGTAGATATTATGTATCATAAGTTCTTTAACCTGCATCATATTTCTGTCAAAGTGCAGAGGATATTATACACAATTTCATCACTAAAGAACTTTAAGTAAATCTTGTTTGCTGGGAAATTTAAGATTATAACTTGGAGCTTCTGTTTTCTAGTGTGATGTTATCTCTGAAAAGTTAAAAAGAAAACCTGTTGATATGATGTTATGCATGTAATCATTACCTGTGACATTGTAAGTGAATAATAGAGACCTTGTTTTGCCATTAGTTCAGCATGTGTTCCTTTTTCCACCATCATCTCATCCTTTATAGTCACAATCAGATCTGCATTTTCGGTGAGCTACCACAATTGTAGTCTGACCTGTGCTTGTCTACAGAACAAGCAGTATAAAAATAAAGTTAGTAGAAATAACCTCTGCAGAAGTCAAGAAAACTTCTTTTTGCAGTATTATTTTAAACATCAAAGAATCTTTGTTTAGATATAGGAATTTGGAAGCTAGTAAATAAAGTTGGCTACTAGAAATTAAAATAAAAATAGAGAATGTTAATTTGGTCCCATATTAGTGGTTTTATAAAACCATAGAATCTTAGAACTAGAAAGAAACCTAAAGACAATTTCTGAGCTTTCTAATAGCAGAAACCAAAACTGAGTAATTAACTTAAATTCATTATCTCTCATCTCTAAGGTGGGGATATTCTTTAACTAGTTGTGTACAAATTCAAGGTAATTATATATGTTCTTACTTTTTTAGAAGTATTTTAAACACATGGAAAAATACACACATTACAGGGGTAGAGATCAACACATTTTCAAATGAAATATACCAAGACCATAGTGACCAAACCAAGAAATAGATCATATCAGGACACAGAAGCCATTCTCATGCTCTCTTCCTGTCCCTCCCTGTGATTTAGTGCTCTTTCCTAAAAGTTTACAATGACATATGATTGGAACCAGAAACCATTTACTTTTTTTTTTAATTTGAAAGCAGATTATTACATCATATTAATTAGCTAGCAAACATTATAAACAACAGACTAAGAAAACTAATGTATAAGAAGAAAGCCTACAGTTTGAATAAAAACTCATAATATAGTTAGTCTGACATAAAATGATGGATGCAACTATTACAGTGTTACATGGTGATTAAGTACAAAAGGTAAGCAGTCTCATATAAACTATAGAGTTCATAATTTTTTAAAGGCAAGCCTAATATTCAATATTTTATCATTTTTGTTTTCTAGAATCACAGATCTTTGGTTTGAATCTTGTTTCTGCCTATTTATGGTTTTGAGATCTTGACAGGTTACTTAATCTCCCTAAGTCTTAGTTTCTTCATTTTCTATATGGGGAAAATTATGGTACCTGTATTTTAGAGTTGCTGTGCAGACTTTTTTGTGGTAAAAACATTTATGAGATCCACTCTTTTAATAACTAAGTGCATTAGATAGTATTGTTATAGAAAGTATATTGGGCAGTAGATCTGTATAGATTATTCATTTTGCACAACTGAAACTTTAAACCCATGGAAAAGCAACTCTCTGTTTCTCTCTCCACTCATTCACTGACAACTACCATTCTAATTTTTCTACTATAAGTTTAATTATTTTTGATACTGCATATCAATGGAATCATGCAGTATTTGTCCTTCTGCAATGGGCATATTTTAGTTAGCATGCCAGCCAGATTCATCCATGTTGTCCAGTATGACAGAGTCTTATTCTTTTTAAATATAAATAACATTCAATTGTTTGTATATACCATGTTTTTCTTTACCTGTTAATGTACTGGTGGTTATTTAGGTTGTTTTCGTGTTTTGACTTTAGAGAATAATGTTGCACTGAACAGGAGCGTCCATATATCTCTTTGAAATATTGATTTCAATTCTTCTGGATACATTGTCACCAGAAAGAGGATTGCTGAATCATATGATAATTCTATTTTTAATTTTTCTGGACTTCTCTACTCTTTCATAGAGGCTGAACCTTTTTACTTTCCTACCAATAATACAAAAAGGTTCCAATATTTTAATATTTTTACCTACATTTGTTATCTTTCATATTTTTTATTTATTTGTTTTTACAACAACCATTTTAGCCACTAATAGTTCTGAGGAAATATCTCATTGTGGTTTCTTTCTTTTTTTAAAATAATTT